CCTCAGAATCAGAATTAGTTCTCATAATAATTAAATAATATTTTTTACAAACAGATTCACGTCTATCCTGAAAGTTTTTGATGAAGGCAAAAAGAAATTGGATCTAGGAAGACTTGTATGGGCAATTTTAATTAAAATAAATTACATTTTATTGCTACAAGTCACTGTTTGGCTCAGCACATTTGAAAAATCCATTTAATGCTATCTAGATTGCTCTAATATTGTTAAAGAATAGGCTACCAACACTAAATTAAAAAAAAAAGTAATGGAGCTAAGTATCTAATAGGTTATCGTATATATGGTACATGGTCTTAGTATTTTGTATTCTGATATGGCCTTATGCCTAAACAAATTTAATTTTTATTACTGCTGCTATAAGATAGGGTGTTATTTGCTTCAGCCTATTACTACATCCTTAACATAGTGTAAATATCAATCCTCTATGAAATCCATAATTTTCAATGCAATGATGATGTTGGGTAATGAAACTTCTGCAAGCAAACTATGCTCAAGGAACACCAAGAACTCCTCAATTCAATGCTGAGCTGCAGATATTCTCTTAATAACATTTCAAAAGTCTTTATCACTTACATGGACACCTTAACTGTATATAGAGTAATGGGTTTTGTGAATACCTGAATAAGTTTTATTGTTATGTTTTAGGTTTTGGCTATGACTCTGCTTTTAATAGAGTGGCAAGAAGTTTAAGTGATGGTGGTTTATTAGTATGCTTTCATGGTATGCTTTCGTGAGTTTTATTGATATTATATTATGATATTTCCCAACTATGACATTTATTGCTATAATGTGCCTAAGAGGGTTTAGAAATATTTAAATCTCAAAAGCTATATAAATCTGAAAGCCCGCTTTCCTTATGCTTCAAAGTAAAATCTATATTTAGAGCTATGCATTTTTGGCAGATGCTTCTGTCCATGTCTGGAAACATTGGAGAAGTTGGTTACCTAAAGAAAATGCTGCCACATATTTCATAAATGCACGATTGTTTTCTATTTACATTTTAAAACTTTATACCCAAGAAATATTTTGCAGGCTACAAGTCACATCCATTTACAGGATGTGTTTTTTTTTAAAGGGGGAAAAATACCTCTTAATAGGAGGAGGCACTTTGTAGGACCAGGGGCCCTCAGCAAGTTTAGAGCTGTCTCTGACCATGGATACAGAAAAGTGATGGCACCATTAAATGCACTATTTCTTGCCCTTTTAAGATGGGAAATATATGAAGGCTTTAGTGCAGAGGTGTCAAACTGATGGCCCGTGGGCCGGATGCGTCACGTGGAAGCTGTGCCCACCCCATTGCCAGCAATGGTAAAACCGGCCCGATACGTTGTGCAATGTCACGTGACGTCACGAGTTTAACATGCCTGCTTTAGTGGAAATCTTAAATAAGTGCACCATAGTGAAAACACAAAAATCCTTTTAATTGCCCTCAAACCAAGATGATTTATCTTCTTTGTGATCTTTAACACCCCCCCCAGGTGCTTAATACATCTCCTGTTGACAAAAGAGTGGCTTCTTTTAGATCTCAAATAATTTCTCTCTAAACATATTGGAATAAATATTGTGGAAAGGCAACTGTCAAATTCTGTCAGTTACTTTTTTCTAAAGCAGGGACATCTATCTGAGCTTTTCATGAAGCAACTCCACAGTAGGAGAGATATACGGTGATTTTTTTTTTTTGAAATATTACCTTTTCTTTTTTTCTTTTTTAATTATTGGCCTAGGTTCAAAAATTAGCATTTCTAGTGTCTAGTCTCCAAGGCACTGGAGAACATCGATGCTGGCATCAAAGTAAACGGTATTTGGATCAACAATTTAAGATATGCTGACGATACAGTTCTGCTTGCCAGTAAGCATGAAGACCTTCAGCTCCTCATCAACAGTCACAGAAATATCTGAAAAATATGGCTTGAAGCTTAACACCTCAAAAACCAAAATCATGGTCATCAGCAAACAATCCGTTAATTTACCACCAATAAATTCAGAAGGAATACCATTAGAAAAAGTTGAAAGGATCACGCATCTCGGTTCTAATTTACATGAAAGCTGGGACATGACCACTGAAGTAAAGACTAGCATAGAGAAAGCTCGAACAGCATTCTTCAAAATGAAAAAGGTCTTCTGCAGTCACGACATAAGCCTAAGACTGAAAATCAGGCTTGTCAGATGGTATATTTTTTCTATCCTGCTCTATGGAGTAGAGAGTTGGTCTCTGACAGAAGGCCACCTGAAGAGACTAGAAGCATTTGAAATGTGAATTTACAGGCAGCTGTTATGTATAAGCTGGGTTGACAAGATCAGAAATGAGGAGGTGATAAGCCGCCTGGGAAAGCCAAGGAAAATCATCAAAACAATTAAAAAATGAAAATTAGAATATTTCGGACATGTGATGCGACACCCAGAAAAATACAGCATACTCCATTTAATCCTCCAGGGAAAGATTGAAGGCAAACGAGGTCCAGGCAGACGAAGAACATCATGGCTTCAAAATCTAAGGGACTGGTTTGGATAAAACTCAGCAGCACTTTTTTGTGCGGCTGCTGATAAAAACAGGATCGCCAACATGATTGCCAACGTCCGATAACGGATATGAAGAAGAAGTGTTTAATATTGATACATTGAAAATATTGATACATAACTTATTTTCAAATATCATATAGTACTTTTAGCACCTAGATCACGGGTGTCAAACCGATCGTGTCACATGACGTATCATGACATATTTTGACGCTTTTTGCCTTTGCAGAGACGAGGTGGGCGTGGCCTGCACGTGACGCATCTGCCCCATGGGCCGCCAGTTTAACACCCCTGACCTAGATTGTTTTGGCCTCTTCTTATAAATAAATGTTTTGTGCCAAAAAATCCTTTAATAGTTTTGTTTTGAGAACTTTATTTAATTCTGATAGTCCTGTCAGGAAAGGGTCATGGAATAAATAATCTTAGTGCAGTTTATTTACTATAATATACTTTTTGTCTCCTGCTGACTGCTGGACTAGTCCCGATAGATTTTGAAATAGTGCCTAGAAAAATGGAATACTTTGCCACTGTTTCATTCTTATAGCTTTATGCCTAGAAGTCATGATCTCCCAGTTTCTACTCTGGTGCCTTAACCACTACACCAGACTGTTCCTTTGTATAATGCAGTTTCCAAAAATCCTTACTCTGAAAAAATGGACATATTCTGAAAAAATTATCCTGCTTGTCTTAAGTTATCCTGAAGCTCTGCGGCTTTGTTGGTAGCACCTTTCTGTCAAATTTCCAACCATGGTTTATTTTAGTGGATATTTCCTCTCCATGTTTAAGAGACGCACATCAATTTGATACTAGAGGAAGTGATTCCATGAGATCAGCACCATTTTGCCCTTAACAACACCCTCTGGAAGAGTTCTTTGAAGCAATGCCATCCATTCCAACATTTGTTAGAGAAACTCTCTAGCTCTTTTTATTTGAAATAAGATAAACCACATGAAAAAAATCCAAGAAAAATAAAAGCTAGTCTTGTTAATTTTGGATAAGCCCCCCCTCCCAATCCTGACAATTACTGAGAATTTGCAGAACTCCAAAATTCACCAATTGCTTTATGGCGGGGGGGGGGGATGGGAAGTGGCTCTCTAAACCATCCACATTTAGTATATGGTTTCTAATCAAATGTTCTGCATAGCCCTAAAGTAAAATAGGATCAAACTACAAGTAGTTGTTGATTCATGACTATTTATTTAGCATTGAATTTATAGCAATATGGGAAAAAAACCTAACTTATGAACGGTTCTTGCACATACAACTATCACAATGTCCCTGTTGTCACATGATTGTGATTCAATGGCAACCAGCATGGGTTCATGACAGGGTCACATGATTGCCATTTGTGACCTTCCCAGCTGGCTTCCAACAAGCAAAGTCAATGCTTCATTTAACAATCACAGTCATTTGCTCAATGGCAACAGCAAAATAATAATAATAATAATAATAATAATAATAATAATAATAATAATAATAATAATAATAATAATAATAATAATAATAATAATAATAAATTGGGCACAACACACTTAGCGATTGCATTAATGCAGAAGTTGGGTCCTAATTTGGTTGCAAGTGAAGGACTACCTGTAATATGACTTATCATCTGAATTGTGAATAAAAGTGATTCTGTTGGTCAGGAATGAAAAAAAAAAATCCAATCCGTATGTATTTGTGTATGTGTGTGTGTTCTCTCTCTCTCTTTGTGTAAGTGTTTATGCATGTGTAAATACACTATCCTGTCGCTTTCAGATACCAACACTATTACAGCATACAATATTCAGCAGCACTCAAAATTTATCAAATGACAATCTGTGCTATAAATTAAATTTAATGAGCACTTAGTTTGTCATATACAATGCTCTAAAACTTGCTAGTCTTCCACATACTAACCTTTTAAGCTCCTGTAAACTCACAAGAATTCTCTTAGATTCTCTAGGATGTTTAATGACTGTAACTCACCCTCCTCATGCTGGTCTATTATCGCAATAAAGATTTGATTTGATTTAATTTGTGGGATCTTTTCTTGATTTGTCATCTGAGTTTCTCTCTGGTAATCTGGATGGAAAGTATTAGTATAATTTGTTTTACATTTTATTATCCATAATAATGTGAATATCTTTGTAAGATATACACAGTCATAAAATGTGCAGTTTTGCCACCAATTTATCCCTATATAGAATATTTTTTTACTCAAATATTCCAATATAAACATTTTGAGATTTTTTTTGTTAACAGATATATTTCCTTGTCCATTTGGATTTTGCTACAGGATTATATTCCAATGTGCCAATAAGAGACAATAAGATACAATTTGCCAAAAAGATCAGCAGCCAAATAACTACTTTGTACTAACACTGTAGTGACTTGGCTAATTGTAATATCACCATACATTAAATAAATAATACAAAAGGAATCAGTTGCATAATTATGAAAAAAAAATCAAGTCCCAAATAATTTTTCCTCCTGTTTATTGGGGAATAGCACCTATTGATGTCTACTAGGATGTTTTTTAGGTTCCTGAAACAGCTGTCAGAATGAATACTTGTTAGAATAAATAAGAGACTGTCCAGATAAATATTTATATTTGAAATCCATAAATCAAGACATCAGTGCTATCAAAGTTCAATTATTTCTTTAATAACTTTCCCACAATTGATTGAAGAATTCCAAGTTTGATGATCCCTGCTGTAAAGGAAATTACAGTCCACTTTCATTGTCTGTATTGAGTTGCTCCCTGAAATATCCCATCACCTAGAATGATAATAAGAAGGCAAAAATTGGCAGTTGCCTACAACATTCTGGAAAAATCTAGAGAAGTCTTTCAATGGACTTTACTAATTTAGTCAAGCCACTTTCATAACATAATTTTAATACTTGTAAAATGTAATTTACCATACATCTTTTCCACCTCTGATATTTTCTCAGAATAGAATCTGTGAAATGGCGTATTGTTTTTAATAAGAAACAACACAGAAACAAGAGAAACAAAACAATCATTAAGAGCAGTTGGTTATTCAAAACAAGCTTTTTAATAGTCCACTCATAAAAGTTATATCAAAGGAAATCCTTATAAAAACATTTTTTCCTTATTCAATTCACTATTTGCTACCAAATGGATTTTGGAGAAAAATTATCCAAGAAAAAAACCCGAAACATTATCGCTATTGCTATCCATTCCCCAAGGCCAAAAGTAATTATTTTAAAGAGATCAACCTTGATCTTTTCTGTTTCAATCAGAGGAAAGTAGTATACTCCAGAAGTGTTGGACTACAATTTACTTCATAATTCCCAGAAAGCAACCTAGACGAATGGCAAAAATATTTCTGCCTTATTTTCCCAACCTTATTTCAGCCTGCCAATAACTCTAAACACTTTAGAGAAACAGAGCAAAAAATATATGGAATAAAATCATAAAAAATTAAGAACTTTGGCTGATTTGATTGAATTTAAATTATTTTCAAGGGATTGGGGAATGAAATATTGGCAAGGTACAAGTGCCATAAGTTAATATAGATGCAATACTTCTAACTAATATTGTGCAGACCGGTTGTCTTGCATTTTTTCCTTATCACATCTCATTCAGTTGCTGGCAGATAATTTTTTTAGAAGATCTTTCAAAAGAGAATAGAATAGTTTTATTGCACTTATTTAGTGACATATTTTTGAATGCTAATTTTCCATTGTTTGGACAGCTCTTCAGTAGCTTATAGCCTTTCTGCTACCCATATATCAATAAAAGGGACAATAACAGTAGGGAATTTCTTCCACTGAGGCTACTGCCCAGGTGGAAGTCCTCGCCTTATGAATTTGTTTACATTTTCTTTCACCCCATTTTCCTGCCTGCAAATTTGGTAAACACTGCTGCAGCCCAAAGACTTTTTTTGCTGAGCTTTATCTGAGCATTTGAAAAACCCAGTGTAACATTTAATAGCAATAATTATTCCAGAAGAAGGATTTTACATTTGACACTCAAGGAATACAAATCCCATTTATTGGCAGTGGTCCAAATGTTATCCTCAAATGTTCAGTATAAGCATTGGCAAGATCTATGAATAATTTACCTGCTGAGTAGTTTCCGGTTTACTTGTATGGATTTGCCAGTGCTTGAGTTTCTGAATTTCATCCATGGAACTGTTTCCCTTTTTCAGTTGCTGTTGGAACAAGAGGTGTTCTTCCTGGCTTGGTGGGATTTTGGGCTTGACAATGGTGTATGTGACCTTGTCCTCATAACTTCTGTCTGCAGAAACGAATGGAAATGATGAGGGAAAAATCATCAAAAGCATCCTTGGATTTCTTGCTAAGGAAGTGAGATACAATCCATCTCAACACAGCATTGCTATTTCTGAACACATGGGATGAGCCACATTTGGGTATAATATTTGGAGAGCAAAAGATGAAAACTTTTGTGAATGGGCCAGAATTTTTATCCCTGGGTTTTTATTGCTTGTGTATGTGTGTGTGTGTTTGTGCATGTGTGTGTTTCCTAATCACTTTCACAATGCTTTAAGGGCCACACTATATTTTCCAATGTTTTCTAACTAAAATGTTGGGAAATTGTGCCGCTTCTTTTCAGTAGTTTCACTAAGAACTATAAAAACAGATGTCTGGGTACCCAGATGGCTCTGGGACCTACTGGATACTGCCCTAGTTTTCAGAGGCAAATTATATTTTCCTTCTTCAAAGTTACTAATCAATAGGACATTTAGCCATATGCCTCATTCTTCA